TTTTTTTTTCCCCTTTGCAAATGATCATAGCTGCTAGGATAAGAGAGATACTAGAACATGTGGGATTGGCACAGGAGAGTTTCCCATCGAATGTGGTGTCGTCTTCCCAAGTTCTTGCAAATGTGGCAAATCTGTTGAATATTAGGGATACAGAACTAAGTAGGTGGGTTATTTTTATCCTTTTTTAGTTAATGCTGACTAATGGGAATTGTCTTTAACTTACACGGGGACACTGTTTTAGTTTTCTTGTGGCAATGGCGGATCTATCCCTGAGAAAAACGGCAGTAGAAGAGAAGAGAGCCAAAGTACAGAAGGAGTCTAAGGAACTTCTCGACTATACTCGAAAGGCAATAGCAAGATTGACTTACTTGAAAAGGTTTATCTATAGTTTCTTACTTCCTCATGAATTTAATTTTGCTTGTTTTCCAGATTTGCATCACCTGCTGTATTTTTACCTTTTTTATTATTTTATTTTTCTTGTCAGAACACTTGCACAATTGGAGGATGATATAGCTCCTTGTGAAGCTCAGATGGAACACTGGAAAACGAACTTGGCCATAATGGAATCAAAGGAAAGACAGTACTTGCAGCAATATTCTAATTATAAGGTATAACTTTATTATGATCCATCGGCCATCAGGCACGAGTTATATGTTCATTACCCTTATAGATCAATATAATGAACTTTTACTTGTGACTAGTACATATTCATTCATTTACTCTTCATATTCTCATGATCAACCAACACGCTTTCTTTTTCCTTCTTTTTTAAATTTTTGTGCATAATTCTGTGTTGAGGCAGTCAACAGAAAAGGAAATTTGTTTTATAAATTCCCTTCTTATCTATATGTTTTTAAAATAAGATTACTGACGAGATCTACTATCACTTTTTGCATGTCCTCGTAAATTAAAAGTAGGTACAAATTCTCCTAATTTGTGACCTACCATATAATCTGTTATATAAACGGGCAAATGCTCCTTACATCGTGAACGGCAATCGTATGGTCGATCATTGTGGGTATAATGGTAGATGTGCGAGACCACGTTACTATTATTTTTTTTCATTAATTTTATCAATTTTCTTAATAGATGGTTGGCTACAAAAAGATATTTTTTACTGAATGTATCTTTTTATCTCAGGCATTGCTCAATCGTGTGGGATATAGCCCTGAGATTAGTCATGGGGTGTTGGTTGAAATGGCCGAGCACCAGAAGGACCTGGAGAAGAAAACAAAACCAATACTCGAGACACTTAGAAGCTACCAGGATTTACCCCCGGTACTTACCTTTTCTCAATCACATAAGAAAGTTACATACGCCACTAGAATTTTCAGTTATCAAAATTTGATGTATATATTCATTTAAATCCAGGACAAGGCATTGGCAGCACTTGCTATTGAAGACAAGAAAAGGCAATTTGCTGCTGCCGAGAAGTACCTTGAAGATGTGCTTCAATCGGCTCTAGCTTCTTCCGAGTGATCATCAACTATATATCAAAGGCTGAGTTTCATCGGGGTCTTGCATCTATCTTGGTCATGTGTTTTTCTTACAGAAATGATATGTTTGCAATTATTATTTGTCGTTTGGAAATATTTGGAGGGAGATAGTGTCTTGTGGAGTAATTTGAAGGAAAGAACAAATGACTTTTATTGAATATATATGAAAAGTATTGGCCATTGTTTTAACTCCTGTTCAAAACTTAGGCTATATTTGGTAGACATATAAACTACTCTATAACTTATTTGGTTAGTTTATAAGTTCTCTGTATTCAAATAAATTTCGTTTAGTAGGACAACTTTTTTAAATAAACTATAAACTATAAGCTCGAAAATTACTGATAAGCTATAAAGTTAGCTTATCAGCTAGTTTTACTAAACATAGTCTTACCTTACTCACTTGATCGTCTCCTAATTATGAACATCGTCTGTGATTTATTACAACTCACCGGAAACACGAATTATGAACACAATGCTGTTTATTTTTCTTTTATTATATTCATTAAGAGTTTACCTATCCTATGTCTATGTGTTTGTTCTTTTTCATAATGGTTTTGGCCATTTTCAGAAGATGTGTTTGTTCTTATTATAGTTACTGCTGAAATGTTACTGCATCATATTGTGACATAAGAGCAGTGTACAATCCAAGGTGTAAATGAATCGGTGTGTAAATGAATCGGTAAAACAAGATCGAGATCGAGCTATGCTTGTTTTACAAGTCATATTCGTAGCTTGATGGCTCAAACTGTAGAAAGTAATATAAAAAATTCTATTTCGAGACTTGTTGTTAACAAGTCATACTCGAGTCTTAACAAGTTGGTTTCGATTTAAATCCGGTTATTTGGAAATCAATATTAATAATAATCCGAATGAATACAAACAAGTTTGATTCCTCCAAAACTGAGGGCCAATTTTGTAATTATATGCCCACTTTTCAGTCAATCATTAATCTCTCCTAATTACAAATTTTAGTATAGGGTTAATATTAAGAAAGTGATTTAGGGTTTTAGCCGCGTTTAGGGTTTAGCTTTCCCAACTCTTAAGGTTCATATTTTCAATTTTATTTTCTTTTCTTGTGGCGGCGCCCTTCGTATAATTTCATTATTTATTACGAAAATGCGGCTTAATTACCTTGTAATTATAAATTGCCAATATTTGCGAAAATAAAAAAGTACGTAATATTTGCATTTCCAAAAGGAAAATAAAAAAAAAAATATATTTGTGATGATTTTTTCCAGCCCTCTTTGTACGCAATCATAGGATTGTTTTTCTTTCGTGTGATTAACGGTGAGATTGATTTGTGATAAAGATTAATTTTTTATTTTTTTTTCTGATTTTTGCATAATTTTTATTTTTTTTTTTGTGAATTTTAATTTCTTTATTTAGATTTTATGCTTTTCATTTGATTCTTTTGATTGTGTTTTTCCGTTTTTTAATTTAATTTTTTTATTTTTCTTATGAATTGAATTATGTCTGATCTGTTCTGATAATGTGATACAGTCCCCATTAAAGAAAAAAAAAATCCCAAGAAAGATGAATTATTTATTTGTTTCATTATTTCAATTTTGACGATCTTTATTGTCTGAATATTTGTTTTTATTATTCTGAATTCAATTCCATACAGAAATCCTAACATATTTAATTTCATTTTTGTTCTTGTTCTGTGTTTGTTCAGAAAGCTGCAATCTTGAATAGCATTGAGGTTTGATTATTCATATCTTTTTGCTATTTATTTAATTCAATTGATTGTATTTTGTCTGTCCATTGTTATAATTTTCTTATTATTTCAGTTTTGATACTGATTATCTGATTATTTATTTTTTACTATACCGAATTGGATTTCATACTGATTTTATTAAAAAAAAAAAATGGATAAAAATGAAATATACAGAATCCTAGACCTATTTAATTTCAGTTTTTTGTTGTTCTTGTTCTGTTTTTTGTTCAAGAAAGCTGCAGTCTTGATCTCTTTAATTTCAATTTTTGTTCTTGTTCTGTTTGTTGTTCAGAAAGCTGCAATCTTGATTAGCATTTGAGATTCCCTTTTGAAAACCTTAAACCAAAAAAAGAAGATGAGTTACCCAGATCCCTCACAGCCTGCACTCCCCCTAATCCCACCCCCATTTTCCGGCGACCCCTCCGCCGCCTTCTGGCCGCCCTTGTGGGCGGCAGCCGACCACCACCCTCCCGATCAGCAGCCCCAATTCAAGCGCCCCCGAACCACAATCTCCGACAACAATAACAACAACAGGCCCCTGAACCTTTCGGGGCCCACCAAGGGCACGAGCCACATTTTCTACAAAACCCGAATGTGCGCCAAGTTTATAGACGGCACTTGCAAAAATGGGGACCACTGCACGTTTGCCCATGGCCCGGACGACCTCCGGGAGCCCCCTCCCAACTGGCAGGAGATTATCCGGGAGAAGGACAGAAGCTCCGGCCAATCCGGCAACAGCTGGATTGGCTGCTCGGAAAACGAGCAGCGCTTGATCCACCGGATGAAGATTTGCAAGAAGTACTACAATGGGGAGGAGTGCCCTTATGGGGAAAGGTGCAACTTCCTCCACGAGCGTGGCCCGCCTCCGCCTCTACCTCTGCCGCTGCCTCCTCCGGCGCCGGCGAGGAGGTTCCGTCAAGCTGACGCGGTGGCTGCTTCCGAGCAGCGGGAGAGCTTTGCCATCAGCATCGGTGGTGATTTTGATCAGAGGGCGTTTTGGAAGACGAGGGTTTGTAGCAAGTGGGAGATGGGGCATTGCCCGTATGGGGACAAGTGTCATTACGCGCACGGGCATTCGGGTATTTATACACTTTTCGTGCTTTTTTCTTTTGGTATTTTCGAATTAATCATGCGTCGTTGTTTGGTTTACGTGATTGTCTACGAACATTTGATAATATAACTGTGCATTCGTCGTACCCTTATATGCTTTGAGTTTGAGATTCTCTCTAAAAAAACATGACTATTTATGCAAAGAGACTACCCTTGTGAGTGTATTTGTCTCTTTTTTTTCTGAAAATTTTTGGATTTTATTTTTCTGTTTTTTATGGGCAGAGTTGAGATTTTCTGGTAATAATGTGGATGAGGCAGAGCAAGTGGTGATCAATGCAAGCAATAATAATAACATCTCCATACCAAGAAATAATGTATCATCTGTGTCTGGATTTAGCACACCAACAGTGAATTTAGCAAGTACAGTAGTGCCCATAAACGGCGATGCCGAGAACAAAAAGGCCTCGAAATGGAAGTTAACGAAAAAGATTAATCGGATTTATGCCGACTGGCTCGATGATGCGGACCCACCACACTTCTCGGCGAATGAAGATTACTGATTCATTGATTCTTTAAGGAAGAAAGAAGAGAAAAAGGGAAATTGCTGATGCTGCTTACAGATTTGTGTTTCTTGTTTTAGCTCCTTACAAATTTATACAGTTTGTCATGGCTCTTTAACTTTGGCCTTTTTTTTTTTCATCATTTTGAATTGTTATAACCCTATATACACACACACTATACAGATTGGAATAAAGATAGCTCTTTTCTTGATGTTGGCCTTGTTTGGCGATAAGCGGATAGCGGATAGCGGATTGTATTAGCGGATAGCAGATAGCGGATTATATTAGCTGATTTGACCAGCGAATTGCATTAGCGGTTTTTAAATAAGTGTTTGGTAAATAGCTGAAAGCTTATAGCTGTTTGACATTATAAATTACCAATAAGGACATTTTTATTATTTAGGATGTATTCTTTTAATAATAATATATTAAAACATTTAATATTCTTTAGTTGGTAATTTATAAATATATTATTTTTTTTAAATTTACTAACACTTGATTAAGAAGTTATAAATTTTACATTTTTCTAGATAAATTAATCATATAGATGACATATTATTATTTATTAGCACCATAAACCAATGTAAATTGTAAAATAAATAATACAAATTAAAAAGTTTCAAATTAAAATAGTAGATTGTGAATCCTCTATCCCAAAAAGCTCCTCTAATGAGCTTTTTCTAAATTAGAGTTTTGGGCCGAAAAAGCTTATCAAATAAGCTATTTACCAAACAAGCTTAATAGCGGATTTGACGGGTCAAACCTCTCAATTGAATCCAATCCGCTAATTTATCTTCAATCCGCTATCTTCCAAAAGGGGCCGTTATCTGAAATCTGGTATATTTTTAGATGCTGTTGATGAATGAAAATGTGAGTTCTGCAAAGTATCCCTAAAATCAAACACCAAAATTTCATGAAGTGATAATCAAATGACCAGCTGCCTTTCTTCTCGTTTACAATAAAAGAAAAGTAGGCCTAAGAGGTTTTCAGATGCTCGACTTCTATGACTTCTATGACTGAACTTCGCTTCGACATTTTGATGTTGTGCTTTCTAAAACCCTTTTGCTAGGCTTTCATTTACCGCTCCGTTGTTTGACGTCATAAAATTATCCAACAGAATATTTTGTATAGATGAAGTAATTCAAACTGCTTCTTTAAACTGATTAAGTACTCCCAAATACATGTTTATACTGTCTGAAATCATCTTATGTTTATACTTTTCTTCAATGTATATTTCCTTAATAACAATATGCATATTTGTGAGTAAAGTATCTCGATCTACGATTATGCTAACCTTAGAGTAAAAATATGTTCGCCTAACAATTATGTCTATCTAATTTGATTTGCCAAGTTCTGTTTGCCATATTAGTTTGATATGCTCGATAACTAGGAAAGTCTATCGAGCTCGCTTAATAGAAGACATACCGTTTGAAAATATACTCCCGCCTAACATTTACTGTTTGTTCTTCAAGTTAGGAACTTGGTTCTTGTTTTAAGCCATTTTGAAGCAACCATGTTTCTCTCAATCTACTCTTTGAAAAGTTCAATGATGAAACAAGTTCATGATAGAAGGGAACATGAAAATTCATCTTAGCCATACTTGGTAAGTTCTACAATACCTCTTTTTTACACTTTTTTTAGGTTAACAGCTAATACAAAAGGCGTGGGAATCAGAATACGATAGGGGATCAAGTACAAGGGGATCGTAAAACCTTGCTCTATACAACATGAAGAGAGCAAAAGGACCGTTTGCTTCGTTGTGCCATACTGCACACTAAGGCCCAACTGTTATGAGCTCAGTTGGGGACATAAATTCTCTCTTTTGGCACGCTCTGGCCCTTCACCTGTGCACCTGCGTTACAAAATTATGGTCATTTCACAAATTTCAATCAACACAAGTCCCTTGAGCAAACTTTTGAAATAAAAACAACAGCCTATATTCAATCCGATCCAAGAACACAAATTTTTGTGTGAGCCGGCCTGAACATTAGGCGGTCGACACGTCAAAGTGAATAAAAATGTATTTAAACGACAAAATATCATATTTTTGTTTATGTTACTTTTAACGTATACTATTTTTCTAATAAAAGTAACCATACTTGTGACAAGTAAAAGTATGTTGGCCTAATGGCGACCATTTCAGAAGGCAAAGATTTTGCAGCAGTTAACGGAAAATCTACAATTTTGGAACAGAATTTATATTTTCCACTTAAATAGGTCACAAACCACAAGTATCAAATCCTTAATTCAGTCCCACCAATTTGTCCACATTTTTATTTCCAGTTACCGACATTTCAACCTCTTGTCCCAGTTAATTAAACTAGATAGACCCTTGATTAAAATATCATCAACTCACTTCTGCCAAAAATAGTCTTCCCATTAACTTGACATGATATCACATTTTAACAACTACAAACACAAATCCACAAAGCTAATCCACAAGACATATTTTTATCAACATCAACATACCCATACCCAAAACATACCCATACCCAGTATATTCCCAAACAACATACCCAGTATATTCCCAAACAGGTTGGGGTTTGGGGGGTCAGTTGTACGCAGACCTTACCCTTGTAATTATACAAGGAGACTGTTTTCATAGCGACCCAAGGTGCGTTACGTCGTTTGATATATTTTTTTCTAGAAACTTCACTAATAGAAGAAGCACTAGAATTTAATTGAGCCATATTGATATCGGGAAAAAAATATTATAGCTGCAATTTTAGTCCACTATTACAAAAATCAATTCTTTTGTTATCTATTTTGGTCTCATATTCAAAACTATATACTACAATTAAGCACCAGAATTTTATTAAGTTCGATCAATTACTAACCATTTTCTGTAATCCCCTTGGAGGATTGGAGAAACTCCTCAAATTGTGCTTCCATATTCAAGATATCCTCGTCCACACCAAGGTCAATGGTGTCAGGCAGCAATTGAATGACATCGTTTCCATTTTGTTCAAAGTTCCCGAAAATGCCCTCCCCCTGATGTTGGCTGATCCAGTAATCCCTGAACCAGGTAGCGGTAGTGATGAGGCTCCACCACTCGGGCGAGAAGTCCTCCACCTGGCGCACGGCTGCCGGAATGTACAGTGGTGCATTCGGGTTTAGTGTGGACCTTCCTCTGGACACGAGAGCCATGATTGGCAGGCCCTTTTTTTTTTCTTCGAGATGCGAATCAAAACAACCTGAGAAAAATAATACGAAACAACAAGTGATTATTTTACAGCTCTTCTTCAGAAATTAGATTGCTATTTAGTTATCAGTATGGAATGAAACTGAATTTCCATAAATGATAGATCCATACATCATCAACATACCCAGTACATTTCCATAAATGATAGATCCATCATTCAGTTTAAATTCTCTTCCTTGTTTCACCAACAAACTGATAATCGGATTCAGCAGGAACTTATATTCATCAAACACGAGAAGAAAAAGCTACTGAAAATTCATCTTTAACCGATTATTAAGCCAAGCAGGCGAAATCATTTACTTCACTCGAGTTTCACTTCCATTTTCCACATGGCTTCTTAAGAACCAAAAGAAATTAACACGATAAAAGTCGAAACAGCCTACGAAAGAGAATTCACAAAAAAAAAAAAAAAAA